TGATAATTAATGACAATAACCGCCAATTCCACGCAATCATTCCGCGACAGACACGGAAGTATATGTTATCGAAGGATTGAATGCGGCCCAATACGACCCACCAAATTAACCTTTTCCAACCTATCGAACAACCTGCTGCGCAACGAACAGACGTGGGGTTGGGGGATAGCACAGGGGCACATGAAATTGCCTTGGAATCACAAGGTCTTGGATGCCGGTGTAATGTGAGGTTGATTGTGACCACTTCGGAAACTTGGCGTGATGCCGTATGGCCGCACTTGCGGTGAAATGTTTCGCCTCTCCTTCACATTATTTTTCCGAACAATAGTTCGGGAAAAACGAAAGACAGCACAGCTTCACGGGTGCTTCACGGCTGTCGAACGATATCTTCCTAGTGGTGCGCGCACTGCAATGGAGCTCACAATATATTTTCGTCAGCCCTAAGTGGTATGCCCTTGTTGTCTTTGTAGAGACTGTAGTGCTTGATGTTTAGATGCTGGCTATCTCTCACACCCGGTTGGGGGGAAAGAGCAGGGAGTGCCACGCGCACGACAGCTGACAGCAGCTGACGTGGGGGCTACGCACAATCATTCTCTGGTCGTACTACCCAACGCATACCTATGTGCAGGGCACCTGAAACAGTCATCTCGTCTACAGATCCGACTACATACGCACTCACACGAACACCCTCCCTAGTTCTTTACGCAAAAGTAACTAACCACTTCTGTGGGATGCGTGATTCCGCCACCTCAAGTCAAGTTTTTCTGCAAAAACAACAAATCAATAAAAACCTAAGGGGAAACCCGGCCACCGGGTCAAAACCCCTCCCTCCCAAGGATGGTACTACGAAAAGCAAGTTAAAGACGCAAACAGGATAATTCCGACAACTCGACGAACAACTATCGATGATCTGAGCACCTAACTATCTCCCTCCCCCTTGATTCCGGCGCATCGCGGCGCCCTCAGGGTCGGTGGTATATGCTATCATCCTGGGACAGCTGTTTTGTCAAACACATCAAGCATGATAAGCCTTCTTGCACACAACTCTTACTCCGACTCTCAGAAATTCAAAATTCAGCCTGCTCACACACAACTCTTCGACTCTCAGAAAAAACAAAGTTCCAATTCTCAACCGTCAAACAGCACGCGTCGATATGGCTGCTCTCCCTCAAAACTGCGGTCCATCATGTCGTGCGATAACCCCCCTCGCTCTTTGCTGCGAGTGGTACGCCACACACAATACCTCATTCATTCAACGCTCGCGGAAAAGACGCCTGACTATCTACTGCATCGAGAACTTATCATTGCTGAGGCTTCCTTTCCTCCTACAAGACAAACACAGTGATTCTCATCATGGGGCTTCTCCCCTTCTACAAGACAAACACTGATGCAGATTGTGGAGACGCCTTGCTACTGCGAATCCCTCAATAAGGTGGATACGTCTGGTACATGGGTCCGCATCGACCTGCAGCAACAACGGAAATGTCACCTACAGTACAACAGTGTCATCCCCTCCCCATTTCCACCTCACGTACACAAGGTGATACATCTGGTACATGGGTCCACACCTACCTGCAGCAACAACGGAAATGTCACCTACAGCAGTGTCTTCCCCTCCCCATTTCCACCTCATGTTGACGCGAGCACAATTTTACCTGCGCCGGTGTCTGCAACTTTTTGATACACCGGGTCCTGTGTACCCCCTTTGTTTTCGGCCGACACGCTGGGTACTTGTTTACCCCTGTGCGTGAGTTTTCATCGGCTGCCGGGAGCACCTGTGCTGCATCCCCTCATTTGATACACCGGGTCCTGTAACCCCTTCTCTTCAGCCGACACGCTAGATACTGGTTTACCTTTGTGCGTGAACTTTCATCGGTTGTGGGGAGCGCCTATGCTGCATCCCCTCCTTTGATACGCCTGGTCCCGCGTACCCCTCTTATTCTGCCCCAGACAAATTTTTCATCGCCCGCGGGCATCATGAAATGGAAGCGCCTGTGCCGCGAATCCCCATCATAGAGTGGCTGGTTTTTGGAGCCGGAGTACCATCGTCGTACGAAACACCCGTGATAACACGCCTGGATTTTACCATCGAAAAAGACGAACAACAATTGCTCAACAAAACACCCACACTCAAGAATGGAAACGCCTGAACCGCGAATCCCCTTTCGAAATTCATCGTTGGTCGTATCATCGTAAGCGAAGCTACCATCACTCTACGAACACCAAATCAGAAAATGGAAACTCCTTAACTGCGAATCCCCTGTAGAAACTGTCGGTATCATTCGTCACAAGCAAAATCATTCAATATCACTCACGAACTCAACCAAAAAGAAGCGCCCCGCGGCAACGCCGCGTTGTTGTTGGCCCTCGTTCGAAAGCACAGCAGATGTCGCGGTCTCGCCCTTGCTCCTCTGCGGCAATTCCACGTTCACCAGAATCGCCATGACTGCAATCCTCCAGTTGTCCCGGAGCGAGTACTTTTCCCGTGATCAATAGGCCCGCTACTCCACCGCCGCCGCCGCCGCCCCTTTGCTGCCTTGCAACTGGGCCGGTCCCAACAGGTCGCTCATGTTTGTGGCCCCGAAGGACTATCCTCCAGGCTCCACCTCCTGACACCTCGTCCCGTGTGCCCGGGGCAGTCAAGCTACCCCCAGCAGCGCCTCCGCTAGAGCTGCCAACCGTATAGAGAAAGTCGATGGTCTCGAACCCACCAAACCCACCATTTGCAGGGACGTCAAACGCCCGCACCGGTTCACCTCCCGTGCCCGATCAACTGCTGCTCTCTCTTCCAGCGGTGTCATCTGTTCTAACGACAGCCGCAGCGTGCAGCTCTGATAGGCAGCTGCCTGGCGGCGAGATTCCGACAATCCCACCGCAGGATGCGGCGCGTCCTCCAGCACCGCCTGGCACCCCTCGGCTTCCGCAATCGGGCATTGCCTGCAGCAGCGATGACATCTCGTCCATCACCCCCCGCATCCAAACTCCCTGCGCATTGCTTCCCAGTGGGGGCCCAGCGGATGGGTGGCCCGGGGGACCTACTCCCCCGACTCCACCGGGTGGCACCCCAAACCGTGTGCCCGGCGCGGCTCCTCCGTGCCCTGCGGCGTTGCCAGCGCCGCTTGACTCCCCCTCTTCTGCCCCCGCCGCCCTGGCAGACGGCATCTGAAGTTGCCCTAGCTTCTCCATGACAGCCGACAGCACCTTGCTTTGCTCCTCCAGCCTCTTGGACAGCTCCGTCACGCGCGTGTCGATCATGGTTCCGCCGCCTTCGCTTGCTGGGGTATCGCCAGGCATTATCCCTACAAAGGGGCTCCTTCGAAGGAAACTCTAGAGTATTCGTCAACCCTAAGTGGTATGCCCTTGTTGTCTTTGTAGAGACTGTAGTGCTTGATGTTTAGATGCTTGCTATCTCTCACACCCGGTTGGGGGGAAAGAGCAGGGAGGGCCACGCGCACGACAGCTGACAGCAGCTGGCGTGGGGGCTACGCACAATCATTCTCTGGTCGTACTACCCAACGCATACCTATGTGCAGGGCACCTGAAACAGTCATCTCGTCTACAGATCCGACTACATACGCACTCACACGAACAATATCCCGCTGGGGTTAAAAGGGAAAACGACACAACAGGGTATACCCTGGTCGAAAAGCGACACACCTGGGCACACAGTCATTAACAGCAGTAAATGCACTCATATCATTGGTCAGCGCCTAATTTCACACCGGTGTGTCCGAAAAGGCGCAGGGTATACCCTGCCGTGACTACAGTGTTCTACTACTGAAGTAGTCGTCCGGAGTACAAAAGAGTTATCATGAGGTACCATTAGTTGTCGTGTCATGAGGTGCCATGAGCTGTCATGAGGTGCTATGAGGTCCCAATAATACTCTGAGGTATCATGAGGTGCCAGGAGGCACCATGAGGCACCATGAGGCACCATGATGTACCATGAGGTGCCATGGACTTTCATGAGGCGTGATGAAGTATCACTAAATATGTCATGAGGTGCCGTAAGGATTCATGCCATGACGTATCGTGGGGTATCATGAGGTGCCATGGGGCACCATAAGAAGATGAGTGCTATGAGCTAGCATGAGGTCCCACGAGGTGCTCTGAGGTGCTATGAGGTGCCAGGAGGCACCAGGAGGCACCAGGAGGCACCAGGAGGTTCTAGCAGCTGCCATGAAGTACGATAAGTTGCGAGGAGCTGCTGCTATGACGAGGTGCTCCGAGGTGCCATGAGGTGCCATGAGGTGCTCCGAGGTTTCATGAGGCGTGCCATGAGCTGTCATGAAGTGTCATGAGGTGCCATGAGGTGTCATGAGGTACCATGAGATGCCATAGCACGCCTCAAGAGGTGTCTTATACTTTGTCCAAATATACTAGTCTAATCTAAGTCAGCATGTACTTGCTGTATAATTCTCAACGCTGCTGTAGACTGACGCCGGAACCATGTTATTTGACTACGGCATCCGCCTCGAAATGATCCAAATCCCGTGATATGTGCACCTGTAAATGACGGTTATTTCCTCAATTTCTGACACTGCATGGCCCCTCTAGTGTTCGGTGAGATCTGCCAACGTGCCAACGCGGGGGATAAGATGCCGTTGTCATACATCAACAGACCGTGTTCTTTGCACAGCAGTGTATAGCATGAAAATATTTCACAATTTTCGAACGGAGAGGCTCTACTGCACTAGATTTGAGGTCTTACGACTTTGATCGGAGAGACAACACCAACACAATGGCCCCACCTCTAGTCGCGGGCATGAGAAGTATTCCGCCCTCCACAGCACAGGCTGGGGCGTGACGCGGACGTCGGGACGTGACCGGCGACTTGGCGACTTGCTTGCTTGTGGCTTATCATATGTCATTCGTGTTCGTTCAATCGTTCAATCTTCCCGGCACCGGTGCATAGGGATGACATCAACTTGCTGTCCACGGACCCCCGGGGTTGACAGTCTCGGCGTCTGCTGTCTGGTCTTGGCTCTCACAGTTCTGCGGACGGACGACGGAGGCATTGAGGCAACCACGCTACCCCGCATTGAGAATGGCACCTTTCTATAGCAAGAACTTCCCCGCATTGGTGATTGCCTGCTTGGTGAGTGGTTTACGAGCAGAAACATGTCGGGAGTTCGTCGATTGTCACAATCCTTTCGTATCTGGTTGAAGTAGAAGAAGGTAGGTGCATGTGCTGTGTGTCCTATTGTGCCGGTTGCCAACGTGCCAGCGTTCCAATCTGGTGCCAACATGCCAACTCGCCCCAAAAAGCGTCGAGGCACATGAGACTACTTCGCTTCTTCTTCGTGAGTTGTTCGATACCCTGTCGTCTTGCAGCCGAGCTACGGACGAGCCCCACGACGTGCATCAAATCAGGCTATGACGTTATGACCGAGGCGTTGAATCTGCTACACATACACACGGCAATCCTCCAGAATGTAGATTTTGCACAGCAGTGGCGATATCGATCTGGTCGTGCGATATTCAAAAAGGAATCCCTCTTTTGTGAACACAGCGGTAGACTAACAAGGAGTACCTGGTAGAGACTAGGAGGGAGGAATATGCAGGTTTGTAAACAGATGGAATGCGGGGGGGTGGCGCAGCCGCTCGGACATGTGCACCGCCGTGTTCCACAGGCTACGGTTTCTGTCATCCACGGATGCACGTCTGGATGTTACAGTAGGGGGGTACAAAATGTATGCTTCAAATTCGTGCTCTGATAAGGTAGATACGTGGAGCCGTTCATATTGCCTGAGAGTAAGGTTTCGAACACTTTGTTTAGTTTGTGTACTCATACATCGCAAACAGCCTTTGCGATGGGAGGTCAGTTATACGCGGGTAACGGCTACTGGCAGCGCTGCGAAGTCCCCCTGTGTCTCGCCTCACCGTACTACACTCACCCCGCCTTCTACATCGTTCGCCGCTTGCAATGTAATACACGTCCGCCGTCTTGGTATGTACGACGTCGTGCCCAGCTGTGCGGTTTCGGCTCCGCCCCTGCTCATGGCTTTCAACACTCGCCAGTTTCAAGTAAAGCCCTGAACAAGCAGCAGCAGCAGCAGCGGACTACTAGCCTGCAGAGTGCGGGAGAGCGACGAGAGAGAAGCTCTCTGGCAGCGATCAATGAGCAGCAAGACAGCGTGAGTTTAGAAAAAGAACCACCAGTCTCGGGAGATACTACCTTTGAGAGATTGCTCTTTGTCGTAAAGCCTCAGCAAACCGGCGTACTGCTTGTGACTATAGTGGGAGTACACGATTGTTTCACTCAGCAAACCAGGCGTATTGCTTGAGACAACTATTATTAGTACACGATTGTTGACTCTGTTGACGAAAGGTAAGTATCTCTTTTTTCTACTCAAGCTTTTTATTTCTCTTTTGCTCCGCCTCGTCTGCGGTATAGATCAAGACGGGCACGGCCGGGTGGGCGCAGAGGACCATCACCGTCACCGCTCCTTCCAGGGGCTGCCACCTCATCACTTCGGAGATTAGCAAGCAGGTGCCGGAGCTGCGCTCGTTCAGGGTTGGGATGGCCAACATCTTCCTCAAGCACACGTCAGCGTCGCTCACCATCAACGAAAATGTAAGTGCGTGTGTCCGCCTCGTTCGCTCTCTGTAGGCCACCGCAGTTGCAGGGAAACGGTACAGATATGTCGTGGATGAAGGTTACCTTCCATTACGACCTAGATGTGGTCGAGCGTTTTTTTTTTTCTGGGCGGTGAAACTGGTGACGGGTGAAAAAACGTCCTTGGGGCTACAGTGCAAATAGCAGGATATCAGTAAAGCCAAGATTTGCTCGAGTTTTCTTTTTTTTTTCTTAATATGACACAACGAATCCATCTCTATCTGAGAGAAGAGTCTAAGATAGATTAGCAATGATTTCATAACGTCAGAGGAAGGCTACCTGTATTTCCACGATTTCCCGAGCAACACACAGCGACATCTCCCTTGTGGGTAACAGGCTCAACAAGACAGTTTGGTAGCCGTCTTGTGTATCTCTCTGCATCTCATGCTGGAAAGGTGTACAAGGAAGATGTTGGTATGTTGGTTTGTCGGGTGTGCTAAATTTGTTCTGCTGTACATAACACCCTTTATGGAAGAAGCAAACACACACACACACACGTACGAAAAAACACATATACGTACGTATTGCACAAGGTACAACATTTTACTGCCTGCTTCCGCACGTTGATCCCCAGGCAGGCTTCAGCAGGTCAATGTTGGCAGGTCTCAGGTATACACGAACAACTTGGCGTGTACGCACGTCGGTGGGAGCTTGTTCAACGTGTACGAAGGTCATGGATCAATTCAAATGCACCACACACCTGAGGGTTGGGAGGGATGCCGCCCTGTGTCAGATACGCGAATCAGCAGTAGGAGCAGGCAGCAGTATGGTCTCTTGCAAATCGGTGCAAATGGTGACGGTTCAACAATACAAGTTTTAGCGGGGCCTGCCGATTGAGAGAAGGTTATGCTCATCACTGCGAAAAACAGCAGTTTTTAACTTCTCAAAACCGCGCCGAACGTGCGCGGCGGCAGTATTCGTCCAACCGTCTAACCCATACACCGTTTGATCCAGAGCGCTCGCGTCGGGCTTGAACGGCCATGTGTATGCGCTGGACAGCACATCACGGCAACCGGAAGCACCAAACACCACCCATGTGACTGCCTACACACTGATTATCGCGTTCTGTAATTGCCGTGTTTTCAACGTTGTTGATGCCTTGCGTCGCGCCTCGAACCACCGGCACCACCGGCGCACTGTATGCTCTCCTTCTCGATCTCTTCATGGTTGATTCACTACCCGTATAATGGTGCCTGCCGTCGTGCCACGGTTTTTCATTACTTTGGTTGCTGCTGGCGGTTCGCAGGCAGACCCGGACGTACGGACAGACATGGAGTCGGCCCTCAACCGTGAGTGTTGTCTTGCGTTTTCGAACTAAATTGTTTCCAGACCCGCTCGCGAGACTGTAAGGGTTTGTCGCCGCTGAAGTTATGATGGCCGTGCACTCCAGGTTTTCTTCGTCGGTGCGGGCTGGAAGTTTCTTGACGCAAGATCCCTGCCTTTTACCTGATGCCCGCGAATTGTCTTGTGGGAAACGATAGGATGCCATGTTGTGTGTGGGCATGAACGGAGGAAAACCCGCGCGCTGACCCTTGTGATCCCTTGATCCTCCTGCGACAGCAATCCTCGATTACGTCGTGTTCCAAAGGTAGTTGCACGTCGTTCACTCTTATCTTGCTGTGTGTGTTGCAAGCTATTTGAACGATGCGCTGTCTTGCACTTAGCTTTTGAGAAGGCGTTTCGCTTGGGCTTGGTTGGTGTCCTGAACATGCCCCTTCGCCTCCGCCCCCCCCCATCCCTCCAGAAATCGTTCCTGTAAAGTGGCACAACACCATGTTCCGGCACACGCTCGAAGGCCCGGACGATATGACAGGACACGTCAAGGTCTGTGAAAGGGGGAGAAGGCGAGCTAGCTCGAGGGCACAAGAAGCGTTATGTTTTCACCGTCGAGCCCCTCCAAGATCCCGTGTCGGTTTCTCGCGTGCGTCGGCGGGCACCTTTTCAAGAAAGACGTCGGGCATTCATGCTGTGATAACACTGTCTTTTTCGACTGTAGAGACCCCAGTTTTGGTCGCTACCCTACGCACGTCCACCCGCCCCACCCCCGAATACCCGCCGGTGTCCGCGCGCATCTTACCCTCTTGCGCATGCGTGCGTAATTTTGTTTCGCTCTCTCGGACTGCCCATCCTCCTCCAGAGCACCATCGTCGGAGCCTCGCTGAATATCCCCGTATCAAATGGCGGCCTTGCGCTGGGAACATGGCAGGGCGTATACCTCTGCGAGCACCGAGACACCGGGGGTTGGGGAGGGGGGTTCGCCCGCGACATTGTCATCACCATTCAAGGAATAACCTCGTCGGACTGAGAATTCCGGCAACAGTTTACGCATCAAAGGTTGTTGTTCTCAAGGATGGGAAACAACGCAATTAGCTCGATATTGATCTTATGTGCGCGCGCGCGAATCCGTTCACTCAACAGGGGCATGTGCTCCCAGTGTATGTTCTTGGCATGGAAGTGCTTGCCCGGAGATTGAAGGCGTTTCCGGATTTATCTGTTATTTGAGGGATAAGGCGTTTCGAGATTGATTGTGTTCAACCTTGTATATACCCACGGAAGTATGATCGTTTCGTTGCGTTGGATGGAGCAACAGTATTCACAACAATCAAAACAACGTCGTGTTGTACGTGCCAAAGCTGCTCTTGTACGGTGTAATCGACGTGGTCACCAGAGTAGTAGATGCATCTGCCATGAAGGGCTGTTACTCCGTTGTCTCACGGGGAGGGAAATGGCCTATCGCTTCAGCCCGCGCCTGCTTGTCGTGCGAGAACCATACAGACACCATGGGCTGCTTTCCGGCGGCATTTCTATGGCATCTCTCCACATCATGTATTGGATATGATACGCCGTGAAACCTGCCCTGTGCCGGCAGGCGAGACTGCAAGGAAGTGTAGTCTAGGTTCCGGCAGACGGCGATTTTCCTGTACGACCGTAGGCAGGTGCTCATCTGCATCATGCTGTGGCTTCTCTCCTGGCTGTCTCAAGCACGGCGACCCCGGTGGAATTCCATGGGTCGCCCTGGTGCCCTTAGTCTCAACCTAACGGAGGAAGTACCCCGTGTGCGTATTCTGGCGTGTGATCAGTAAATCCCAGGTACCCTTATACGTAGGGTCGACCTAATACTGTGGTAGATTTGTTCCTCCCGTGTTGTTGGCAGATCGAATCCTTCAAGCAAACTTCTTGTCGTAGAAGACACACGACCAATCAACTCGGGAGGTCGAACTCAGGCGGTATGCAACCGCCAACACACCCAATCCGGCACTGAAATCGTCGGAGGGCAGAAGAGCAGAACACGCGCCAGGGAGGGGATGAGGTTTGATGTCTGCCAAAATAAAAAACTGCACATGGAAACCACACAAAACCAACAACTTCCATCAATTTCTTCGACATCAATCCCACCTTCAACGGCATTTCATCCGTCATGCTCGCCAAATTGATTCCCACCATCTCCGCACTTTGCGTGGGAGGGGAACAGAATTGGCCCTCCGCAGGGAAACACTCGTTGGGCGAGGTTCGCAACAGGGGAAGGGTGGATCAGCATCAATGCACCAAGTCCAGCAACGACGACTTGTTGCACTTCGGCGAAAGTGATCCAATCACCGATGCCCCCCTCCTCAAAACCCTGAGCACAGCAGTAGTACTCCGCAAGCCAACGAACGCCTGGCGCCATGCCTGGTTTGCCTATTTAGCTCGGACATCAAAGCCCGAACAAATCGTCGATTCAACAGCTGGCTTAGACAAATAGGAGGCGACTGCCGAGGACGGCCCCACGGTGTGGTATCGACTTTCCAGCCATCCACCCTTTCCCGAAACTCGCGCATGTCTACAGCCAAATAACCCTCCTCTTCTTTGCAACTTTCCCACTCTCCTCGTCCCCATCATCTCCCTCGTGGTCCCCCCCTGACCCCTCCGCGCCGTCCGACTCTTCCTCTGACGAACTCTCCACTGGGCGGCGGGGTACCGCCTTGCGGGCCCTCTTGATTCCACCCCCGCCGCGGGTCCCGCTCCCCCCTCCGGTGGTGCCCGTCACCGCGCCCGAGGAGGGAAGCGAGGGGGCTTCTTGGAACCACGCGGGATGCTACGTCCCCGGCCAGTAACCGTCCGTGAATGTCGCAAAGAGTTGGCTGCCCGCCGTATCTACTCGCCCACGTTCAAGTCCTCTGACAGCCCTCGGCCCCGGCTGGGGCACACGCTCGGGTGATGCTGATGGAGTTGGGGCCGGTAAGGTCTCCCCTGTGCCTCGCACGATACTTGGGCCCCGCCGCGTCCTCCCGATCACCCCAACACGGAACCGTCGGGCACCCATCGGCATGCGCGCGTTCCTTGGCTGACACTTTGACCATGTCGTGCTTCGCATGTTCGGCGCAGTATAGGCTGATCTTCGTGCCGGCGACGCTGTTTCTCGCATTCGTCGTGCACCCGCCGTGCGCGCATCGCTTGCCCGTCACGTTGACCAGGCCGCCCTTCGCATGTTTGGCGCAGTACAGGCCGGCTGTACGACGAGGCCGAGCTTCAACGTGAAGGGAAACAAGACGGGCCTGTACTGCGCCAAACATGCGAACGGCATGGTCAGCGTGACGGGCAAGCAATGCAAGCATCTTAGCGGCTGCACGAAGGCGCCGAGCTTCAACATGGAGAGAAGCAAGATTGACCTGTACTGCGAAGGACGGCATGGTCAACGATGGGCAAGCGATGCGCGCACGGTGGGTGCACGACGGCGAGTTTCGACATCGAACAAAGATCCACCTTACTGCGCCAAACATGCGAAGGACTACATGGTCAAGATGACCGGCGGCATGCGATTACTGCGCCAACCCTGCAAATACGGCACGGTCAAGATGACCGGCGGCATGAGATCAAATCGC